TGTTTAACATCACCTGATCTGGTCCAAATCAGCTGATCAGGCATTTCATCACTCCCACTAACTAGGGTTGCCAGATTGCTGTCTGGTTTAAATGAGGTATTGGTGTGCCCTAGCGCAAATGTGCAGATGCATGGATGGACATGCCTATCTGCGCTGCGGCGCAAGACTCTGTGAGTTACACTACGCACTTGGGCAGTGCTGAATCTAAGTAGAGATGCAATTGCTTAGCATTGATGCTACGGAGGAGTGCACTCACTTAGCACTGAACGGAAGCTGTTTAGCACTGATGCTTAGAAGGGAGCACTTGGCTACCACTAAAGCTTGGTAGGGACGAGCTTGCTGAGCATTGAAGCTAAGAGGGCATGCACTTAGTATGGATGTAAAGCAGAAATGTACTTAATTTGTTGGGAAGCTATGCCGGGATGTACCTGCTTAGCACCTAAACTAACAAACTGGGGAGCACATCTACTTACACAGATGTGATAGTTCGCTCTGAAATGTATTAACTAAGAAGCCACAATACATTTCTAGGACATAATGCTCACGTTGAGGCCTCACATCTTAGTAAGGCTGGACTTGGTCAGTGCTGAAGCTAAGAAGAGATGGTTTTAGTTTGTTTTGATGCTGAACAGACTGAGCCTTGGTTATTCTTTCTGTGGGAGCCATCAAAAGCAAAAACAGGCTCTTTATGGAAGAGGTGTTGGTGGGCTTCTCTTCCTTTGGGCCTTGTAAAAAGCCAGGTACATTGATGGGGACACCGTTGGCCGAGACACATTCTTTCGATTTGGATGTGAAGCCCAAGGTCCTGAATTACCGTCTAATTCCAGTCGCTTATTTTATTCGTCCTCATCTCCCCGGTCCTCGCCTACCAAGTAATCGATTAGTCTGCCATCTCTGGTGACACTGCAATCCATTAAACGCTCCATGAAACAAGCGACGCCAGGCACAACATACCTCGCTACAGCAACCATTTCAGTGCTTTTGTGTTGATGCAGTTATAACAGAATGACTGATTTGTTCTCTCCATATTTAAAGAAATATCAGGAATTTGTAATGAGATGCCACACATCACATTTCAGCATAATTGGACTAAAAAAATGATTATGTAGACATTCATGATTTTTTTTTTCCCTGACCCTCCTGTTATACAGTATCTCACAAAAGTGAGTATACCCCTCACATTTCGACAATTAATTTATTATATCTTTTCAAGGGACAACATCGCAGATATGAAACTTGAATATATTCTAGAGTAGTCATTGTACAATATGTGTAGCAGTGTAGATTTACTACACTGTCCAAGTAACTGAACAGACAGTCACTATTTTCAAAATGGGTGGCAACAAAAGTGAGTACACACTCCAATTGGTAATGGTCAACCAAGAAATGAAACGTGTCTTATTTATCATGTTCATGCTTTTGTCTGTTCGACTGGGCCATATGAGATTGTGTAAAATGTGTTGAAGGTTTAAATTGTGGTGCTTTGGGTGCAATGCTCTCATTCTGGTCACTGGGTGGTCAACATAGCACCTCATGGGAAAGAACTCTCTGAGGATCTGAAAAAGAGAATTGTTGCTCTCCACAAAGATGATCTAAGCTACAAGAAGATCTGTGAAACCATGAGACTGAGCTACAACACAGTGGCCAAGGTTATCCAGCGGTTTTCCAAGATGGGTTCTACTCGAAACAGGCCTCGTTAGGGTCGACCGAAGAGGTTGAGTCCTCATGCTCTGCGTCAGGTGCACAAGTTGACTTCAGAAAACAGACGCAGGAGTGCTGGCAGCATTGCTAATGAGGTTGCAGCAGTGGGGAACAGCCTGTCAGTGCTCAGACCATATGCTGTGCACTGCACCAAGTCGGTCTACATAGCCGTCGGCAAAGATGGAAGCCTCTTCTGAAGCTAGCCCACAAGAAACCCCGAAAACAGTTTGCTGACGAAAACCAGTCTGAGAACATGAACTACTGGAACCATGTTCTGTGGTCCGACGAGACCAAGATAAACTTGTTTGGCTCAGATGGTGTCCAGCATGTGTGGCAGCGCCCTGGTGAGGAGTACTAAGACAAGTGTGTATTGTCTACAGTCAAACATGGTGGTGGCAGCATCATGGTCTGGGGCTGCATGAGTGCTTCTGGTCCTGGGGAGCAGCGCTTCATTGATGGAATAATGGATTCCAACATGTACTGTGACATTCTGAAGCAGAATATGATGCCCTCCCATCGCAAATGGGCCGCACGGCAGTTTTCCAACATGATAACGACCCGAAACACACCTCCATGATGACAACTGCCTTCCTGAAGAGACTGAAGTGAAGGTGGTGGCGTGGCCAAGTATGTCTCCAGACCTGAATCCCAATGAGCACCTGTGGGGCATCTTCAAGAGGAAGGTGGAGGAGCAGCAGGTGTCCAATATCCACCAGCTCCGTGATGTTGTCATGGAGGAGTAGAGGAGGATCCCAGCAACAACCTGTGCAGCTCTGGTGAATTCCATACCTAGGAGAATCAAGGCAGTGCTGGACAACAATGATGGTCACACTAAATATTGACACTATGGACACAATTTGGCATGTTGATGGTGAGGTGTACTCACTTTTGTTGCCACCCATTTTGGAAAAAGTGACTGTTTGTTCAGTTATTTGGACAGTGCAGTAAATTTACACTGCTACACATATTGTACAATGACTACTCTAGAATATATTCAGGTTTCATTTCTGTAACGTTGACCCTTGAAAAGATATAATAAATTAATTGTCGAAATGTGAGGGGTGTATTCACTTCTGTGAGATATCCCCTGCCCACCATAACATGGCTTTTGCATGTATCAGTGGATGTAGAATTGAAATCTGTATCCTTCGGACTTGGTTTGAACTTTGAACACGGTCTGACCATTACAACAAGTTATGGCAAAAAATAAAAAATCTGAGCTTTGTTCTATATTTTCACTAAACTTTCACCCTATCTCTCCAAAATTAACTGGCTTTTACAATGCCATCCAGAATTTCAGAATTATTGGCATCCTTTAGTAAAAATGAGCAGAACTCGCTATGAAAAGATGTCTTTATTGTTTGTCCTTGTGATCTTTCATTCAAAATATCCACAACCTTAAACTGAAGTACTGTAACTCAAAGAAACATTAAGTTCTTATCATGAAACCAAAATTTTTCTCAATAATATGTGTGGCACAATTATTACCATTTTCTTCATTTAATATTTTGTGCAGCTTCCCTTTGCCAAGATAGCAGCTGAGTCTGTGTGATGAGGTCAGTGAACACATGGCCCAAGATCCGAGAGCATTCCTCCATACAGACTCTCCCCAGATCTCTCAGACCCCCCCCTCCCTCAACTCATCCACTCATCCCACAATTTTTTACTGGGTTTAGACTGGGTTGTGTGATGGCCATGCCAAAACCTTTATTCTGCAATCGGTGAACAATCTTGTTGTGGTTTAGATCATTGTCCGACTGGAAGGTCCAACCACAGAGCATTCCGGGCAGAGCCTGTTTGGTTTTTATTTAATATCTGCTGTTATGTGATGGAGTCCATGATGCCATGTATCCTAACACGATGCCCTGGGCCATTGGAAAGAAAAACAGCCCTATAACATCAAAAATCCTCCACCATACTACACAGTGAGAATGAGGCAGTTCTCTGTATGGTTGTTTTTTAGTCTACACCAAACCCACCTTTGATATAGCTGCTAGAAAGCTTCATTTTGGTCACAACTGACCATATTACCCACTGCCTTTGAAAATCCCAGTAATGTTTGGCAAATTGTAGGTGCTTTAGTTTGTTGTTGTTTGAAAGCAGTTTTTTTTCTCACAACCTTCCCAAACAACTTGTGGTGATGTGTGTGGCATCTGATGGTAGTTTTGGAGACTTACTCATCCCAAGACTCTACTAACCTCTGCAATTCACCAGCTGTGATCCCTGGAAACTCCTTTCCTTGTGGAACAATTCTCCTTACAGCGCGAAGAGTCAGTACATACAGTCCTCCTCTTCTAGGCTGATACTTAATATCTCCTGGCACTGTAAACTTCGTTATTGCCCAAATAGTAGAAATGATTATTTTTTTAAACTCTTTTGAGATTTTCTTGTATCCATTTCCAGATTTGCGCAGCTCAAAAGCTTTTTGTTGCACATCGTCACCGTGTTCTAGAGTCTGTCCCATTTTGATGAATGAAATTTAGCCTGTGCCACCTCATATTTTCACCCCATTAATACATGAGGCCATTGTTCAAACACTAAAGAGTTCTTAATCAAACCGATTAACTTCAAATTTTATAATGTGACAGGAAAACTACTTCAGTTAGATTTTCATGGAGTGCAAATAATTGTTTAACACATTTTGCAGAAAAAATATTTATTTAATTTCAAATTAGTTTCAATTCATTTTTTCATTACATATCAAATATTTATTTAATATCAATATTTTTATATTCAGTCCATAATTTCCATAATTCTACTTCAATGAAAAGGTACAATTTTTGTGAATATTTTGAGCAAAAGCCCAAGAGGATAAACAACAAGGACATTTTTTTCACGGCTTGTTTTGCTCATATTCACTAAGGGTAACAAAAATTTTGAAGGGTGCAGTAGTTTGGACCATGGCCAATCAGCGCACCAAGTTTGGAAATGATTGCTGCAGTATTGTAGGCGCCAAGATGCTAACAAACAAAAACAATCAGACAAACGGAACCAAAGACAATACCATAAATACCACCCGTCAGAGGGCACGTCAGTGAGGATACAAAGCAGGAAGATTTTTTTTTTTTTTTTTTTTTTTTCGGAAAACTTGATGGAAATTTTCCCACCTTAGGATGTCCACTTCAGTCATGTCTGTGGTTGATATTGTTTGAAATTTGACACAGCAAAGGCTAATTAGTGTTTGCAGCTGTCATGTTTATCCAATACGACTTTAATTTGATTAGACAATGCAGAGGCCAATTCTCCTAGGAGCAGTGGTGAAGTTAAGGGTCATTCATGGAGCACAACTACTGCACAAATATCTGCACTTGGGTTTGAACACAAAACTTCTGACTTTCAGTCAGACACCTTAGCCACTGGGCTCTAAGGATATTTGATTCCCTAAATTGTGCGTTGCCTGGAGGGGACTGTACAGGCTGAAGACGTGTGCTCAGCCATTTTTTTTTTTTCAGTCACGCCAGAGTTTCTGTAGTCCTAACCTTTATGGAACATTCCTCAATTTCCAGACTGTGTTCCTTTACTGTGGGGTCAGCAAATAGTTGAATTGTGGTTGAGTACAGTCAGTTACCTTCTGGACGTAGAACAGGTGCTCTGGGTCTCTCTACATTAAATGTATGGACACGCTTTTAACGGAAGAAAGTACCATAGTTTTGTGTTGGCATTCATGCGATTTTTATAGAGTGTGTCTTTAATGCCCTGTTGCTATCACTCCGGTAAGGACCCTGACCTTTCTGCGTGAGCTTTATCAGAAATGATGAAATGTTATATGCTGTGAGAAGATGGAAATCGGGATTGGGCCTTTTCCCCAAGCGGTGACGGGGCAAGAACATTACCGTATTATCCTTAAAGAAAACGGCATAAAATTAGCATACATCAGGGAAGAATTCTGTGCTGATATTTTGTAAAGTTAACAAAAGTACTTTAAATGCTGAGACTAATCTAAGTTGCGCTAGATTTGTCATATGCTGTTGTGCTACACATAAATTAAAATGTCTGCAGCTATAATTTATGTTTCTGAAATAGGCCCACCTAGGGGTATGCTTCAGGTAATGGAGATGCTTTCAGAGAAGGCGGCTAATTCTGTTTAATGGTATTACGGGCATATTCCATATTGAAAATATACATAGTACCGCAAGCGTGAAGAGCGGTTTTACAACAAAGTTCTTGGATGCAGACCGGCGCGAATACGCGCGCATGAGAGGCCTACTTAAAACTTCAGATTATCCCCTCTCTCTCTCTCGCTTTCATTCCTCTTCCACGTGGTATGGCAGTGGACTCGGGCGTGAAAAGAAGGCATTGTGTGGCGTGTCAGTAGCCCAGTGTGTCCCTAGAGACTAGGGCAGAGATATGCTCACTCGACTGTGCGCTCAACGCCATTGTTACGAATTCCTACCTATTCACGTCGTTTTAAATAGAGCTAGCGGTCGCGTATCAGAGCGCGGACGAAGGGCGACGGGGGACGGAGAATTGCGAAAGGGGGCGTGTCCAAAGTTCCGAAAATCACCAATCAGCTGTAAGAACTAACTGCCTTCTGTCTGCTGTGTTATCCGCACATAATAAAGCTCTGAAAACACGCCCCACGAAGTACATTACCTTACAACGGTACGTGATTTCTGTATTAATAACAATTAGGACCAAAACTATTAAACGGCTGAACGTTGGCTGCTGAAGTAGTTATGTATTATGTGTCTTGTACTCGCAACTGGGCTCAGTGAGGGACAAATCGCGGTAGAAAATGTTGAAGTATAATATTAACCATTAAATAAACAGGCGGCAGCTGTTTGAAGTTGACGTATAATAAAATTCCGGCTCTGAATTCATCATCTCTTTTCAACGAAATAGGAAAAATTTCACCCCCGAATTGCTTTAATGATATTATCTTGGATTTTTAATGTTTGGGTTCAATTTGCCCTCTCTCGAGTCGCTATTGTATTTCCGTCTTGAACTGGTAAATTTTAGTCATTCCAGACGATGCAACAGGTTCAGCGGTGGGGCGCGGTTGTGGTACATCCAAAAAGAACAGAAGAAAGGGAAAGAAATGCAACGTCGATGGTATATGACGACCACAAGAGGAAAGCAAACACTGCTGGAGGCATTTACGTGCGAGTAACTGTGTGATGTCCGACTTGTTAAAGATAGGTTTATGAGTGTTGTGTTCCCTCCATAAAAGCGGAAAGCAAAATGGGGAGGGGGAAGAAGGGAATTAATTACACCCCCCATTAAAAAAAGACAGAAAGAGATGGTGTTCCTCGCTATTGAAATGCAAATGTAAAGTGAGAACAAGAAGACTGTGTTGTGTGTGTGAGTGTGTGTGTGTGGGAGAGAGAGGGAGAGAGACCCAGAGTGGAGGCATGTTTTTTTTTTTTTTTTTTTTGAGGGGGGTGTTAGGCACGGTGGGCAAGTTTGAGAAAAGAGGGTTTGTTGAGGAAAAACAGCCACACATACATACACACACGCGCACTCTCGAAAACCACGCGGCAGCTACAGATGTCGCGGGCCAGCAGTCGCTTGGCCATTTCTGCGAGTAATGAGTTATCAGAGTGAATCAGTTTTCCGCCCTGGTTTCCTCAGTGATTCTCTAAAAGTTCTAAGAAACGTTTGAGGAAAGTGAAAGTTTTGGTTTGTAACTAAAGGAGTGTCTCAGAGTCTTCTTCACTTTTCGAGAGAAAAACACGTTGTATTTGGCTGATGCCCCCTCTCCAGTTCGGCATCCTCGCGAATCATGTCTCGCCGGAAACAGAAACGGCCCCAACAGCTAGTGAACCCGGCCATCGGGAGCACGCGGATACTGACGCAAGGTGAGAAGTCACTAGTTATCAGGTAGTTTTTCTTGTTTATTGACGACCGTCGTAACTCAAACGATATGTTGCCGTTGAAACAAAAAGCGTGTAATATCTACAGAAATTACTGGTGCGAGCGTAAAAATTGTAAAAATAAGGAGCAGCAATATATTAAGCAGCAATGAGCAGTTGACAGATTGCATAACGGCTGAAATTTGCCCCTATAAGTCTAGGGCATCCATAATCACTGTCCCTTTCAATGGGACGTGTATATGATCCAGCAATTGTGCCGGTTACAGTGGTGTCAATGATGAAAAAATAACCAGACTAGGACTTAGTTCGGCGCTCCGACGCACTGTGTTTTGTCCCGAGGCAGCGGGACTAGTTAAGTTAAATTCGGAATTTGCATGCTGGAGTCACAGTTCCGAGGTATGCATGTGTGGTGTCTTATATTGGCTTTACAGAAGTTGAGAGGCTTTCTGGTGTCAAAGCCTGTCACGGATAAATCGGAGGTGCTGAACTGCAGCCATTCGGGCAGACAGGGAATGTATGGAGGAGTGCAATGCGCGAGCGAAAAAAAAAAACAAAACATACAATGAAACGAGGTTGCGGACGCGCCTTAAGGCACTAGCTAGTTAACTGCTTTTATGGTTGTTTTACTTTTCAAGAAAGCTCTGCTCTTTGCAGTGTCTTTGCCAAGGCCCGCGTCGCCTTAATTTTGATCCAGTTGATGCGCGGACTGAATGTGATTAATTGAAATCGGTGCACATCAACAGCTTTTGAGCTTCGTGAGCAAAGTGGCTGGTTTGTTGTCCCGCTAATAGGAGATTTACGGCCTTGCCCGACTTCTGATCCCCTTTTTCAGCAGTTTTTTTTGTTGGCGGTGCGTGTTGGGGGGTGTCGGGTTAATTCTCACTCTATCCCCCCCGCTTCATGTTCTCCTGCTTCATTTTAGGTGGATCCACAGATTCATCCTTCGTGCTACCTCCCTCCTCTCCTTGTCCCTTTTCCCGACCCATAAAGTTATGGACCACCCAGTTAGCTATGGAAGAGGGAGAGAGGTGAGGAGGAAGAGAGAGAGAAAGAGAGAGAGAGAGAGAGAGAGAGAGGGGGGAAAGACAGGAGAGAATGAGTGAGAGAGAGAAGAGAGGGAGGGAAAGGGTGAGGGGAGAGAGAGAGAGAGAGGTATACTGTGTAACAGCATCAGCGTGAGACTTCATTGTCCTTCCGGCATTTTGTGACGGTGCAGTGAAGCATGAAGAAGCAGACGGATCTCCCGTGTGTGCGCTCGTATATGTGTGTGTGTGTGTGTTTGTGTGTGTGTGCGCGAGTGCATGAAAGGGAAAGAGAAGGGAGAGTGTGCGTGTGTGTGTGTGAATTAGTATGCTTGGGCATGTGCGTGAGAGACACTTTATGTGATTTGTGTCGGCACGCATGTACACTTGTGTTTGAGTATGTGCACACATGCGTGTGAGCGCGCATGTGTCTGTGTATCTGCGTGGATGTTCGCGTTATGATCGGGTTGCATCTTTGTTTGAGCATTTGCATCTCTCCCTCTGCCCCTTTATCTTTCTCTCTCTGTGTCTTTGCTCAAGACTGTGAAAGAATGTGACCCCAGTGAACGAGAGGTCACATCTGTGGGCCAATCACGGTGTCTGAGCGCTTGGCCAGTGGTCAAAAAACCCCTAAGTGTGATCTGACCTTCCACCTCTCTGTTGAGTCAGAGGTCGGGGTGCGGGGGAGATGAAAGACAGACAGGGTGGAGTGGGGGCAGGTTAAGAGGGGTTGGAGTTGCCGTGGTGATGTCCATTGTTCTCTGCAATGCGTTGCTGTGGTAGCAAGGTAAGGTTGTCAGCTGGCGCTGCTGGGAGCAGAGATGGATGGCAGCAGTGGAGAGGGATGAAAAGATAAAGGGATGATGGACAAAGTGATAGAAGATGGGAAAGGATAGGGGAGAGGCGGAGAATGTAAGAGGAAGGAAGGAGGGTTGAGAGGGTGTTTTTTTTTTTTTTTTAGTCCACCTGTACTGTTAACACGGCATGAAGGTTAACAAAATAGACAGTCACAAACCGCAAGAAAACATAAACACTCACAGAGAACTGGACACGTATCCAACAAGCCAAACCCAGCTACAACCAAAAACAAAAATGAGAGAGAGAGAGCAAGAGAGGGAGAGAGAGAGAGAGAGAGAGAGGAAACTAAATAAAGGCTCTGGTAAAAAAACATTTTACATGAGGGGATTCAATGATGGACAGAGTTATAGGAGTCTGTTTAGAAAATAGGGGCCTGGGTGGAGAGGGCGGAGTCAGAGACATGAGAGGGAGGCGGGGTAATCTAATAGTGGGTCGCTTGACCGGTAACTGAGGAGTTTGTAGTTGCAGCCTCCTGTGGGACTTGGAATTCTGACTTGCCCCTGGACAGCTGAAGTTGGGAAGATTTCTGCTGTTGGGCCCTTGAGCAAGACCATTGAGCCCAAAATGGCTTCAGGGGCTTCATTTATTTTATTTTATTTATTTATTAAGCTTTATGGATACAACAATGAATTTAAACATAACATAAAGTACACAATTAAAAACATGGAAACAAAAATC